TTTGCTGAGAACTCTGCGACAAGACTCCGCTGGAGTCCAACCTGGAAAGACAGGCTGTGGGAGGCGCTGCAGCCATCTTGTGCCATGAGGGAGGCCCTGTCTGGGACTGGAGCCCACCTAGAGGAAGCAGAGCCAAGGGGCCCATCCAGATCAAGCATTTGAGTCCTGAATCAAGGCGGGCCTGAGCCCAGTACCCCCAGGACTTCCCAGGGTTCATGAGACAATATACCCTTTTTGCTTACACAAATGTGTCTTGGCCTTCCTGCCACTTAACACGAAACCCTGAACATTGAGGTTGTTTTTATTTTTGTTTGTTTCGGTTCCTCAAGCACCAATTACCTTTACCCTTTACCTGTATTCAATATTCTCAAGTCAAATATCTCAGTCAATTCACTAACCAAAAAATGTGAAAAGAAATGACCTGGGAATTTAAACAACCTAGCTACGCAGAACACACACCTTCCTGGGTTAACCTATGAATTTAATGTGATGCCAGTCAAATCCCTAGAGAATGGCCAAAATTACAAGATCAGTAACTTTACATAATTTAGCAGCAATATTGTAAAATATACAACATGGAAAATTCTTATTCATAAGTAACATGGAAAATGTAATTTGGAGACATAACTGGAAATGCACAGCATATTTATGAAGAAAACCATGCAACTTTGCAATTACAGAAGGGGAGGATAAATCAGAGAAGCATATGTTTCTGGCTAGAAAAACTCAATATTGTAAAGTGATCAGGTATTCCCAAACTAATCTACGACACATGAAACTCATAAAAATCAATAAAAGAAAAACAGCTGAAAACCTCAATAAAAGTGGGAAACTGGCCAAAGGAAATGAAGAAGCTGTTAACATGACAGGAAAAATAACTAGGCAATAAAGATTTTTTAAAATATGTAGAAAGCGCTCAGCCCCACAGCAGGGCTGGGGAAGGCTGGGGAGACAGGAGAGTCCCCGTGTGGCCAGGATGCGCCCCTGCTGTGTTTGTGGAGGGTCATATGATGGCAATCAGCTTTAAAACCTTAAAAATGTGTATTTTTCACTACAAATTTCACTTCCAGAAACTTCCCCTAAAGAAATAATCAAATGAGGGCCCAAGGTTGTCCATCACAATATTGTTTTTAGTAGAAGAAGGACATAAGGAAGGGGTGGACGGCGGAAGTGCTGAAGCAGCTGGTACTCCCTGCAGAGGAATTACATTAGGCATGCGCTGTTCTTCTGTGAACTGAATTCATCCTTTAAGAAACTCATTGTTTGGCCGGGGAGCAGCGGCTCACATCTGCAATTCTAGCCACTTTGGGAGCTGAGACGGGTGGACTGCCTGAGCTCAGGAGTTTGAGACCAGCCTGGTCAACATGGTGAAATCCTGACTCTACTAAAAATACAAAAAATTAGCTGGGCATGGTGGTGCACATCTGTAATCCCAGCTACTTGGGAGGCTGAGGCACGAGAATCTACTTGGGAGGCTGAAGCATGAGAATCACTTGAACCCAGGAGGCAGAGGTTGCAGTGAGCTGAGATCGTGCCACTGCACTCCAGCCTGGGCAATAGAGCAAGACTCTGTCTCAAAAAAAAAAAAAAAAAAAAAAAAAAAGAAACTCATTATTTAAAAATAATAGCAGTCATCTTCTGAATGTGGAAATATCTTCATTATCTGAAACTCTGTAATAATGATACGTACTTAGCCTAGAATTAGGTATATAAATTATGGTACATGTTTATAATAGAATATTGTTAATATATGTTCAACAGTATAGATTTATATACATGTACACTTACAAAACTCACAGCCTAATCATAGCCTCATCATGTTAATCACATGTTTGCTATTTTATGACTCGCTTTTCCATTTTTATAAGTCTATGGACTTACATCATTTTCATGTATTTGTCTAAAAAGGTCTATAGAATATAAACAAAACAATACTTTGTGGTTATTGCTGGGGAGTAGGATTGCCATTTTTAATTTTGTCTTTTCATATATCTATATTTTCTCAAGTTGCTTTTAATTGTAAGAAAGATAAACAATATAAATGTTAATTATTTTACGAAAGGAAAAAAAGCAACGACTGGCAGTATTCACCCGGTTGCTAACACAGCCCAGTACAAGAAGTCACGTTTTCACTGCCTTTGATTCACGCAATGTAACACGGAAGCACACAGCCCACCCCTCTATACGGCACTCTGTGGAAGCGGCAAAACACTCTCTGAGATGGCTACCTCCTGGCAGTCACTCAGTTCTTCACTCCATCAGGTACCTGCTGGTCACTTGCCACGGGCCAGGCACAGTGCTGGGGAAGCTACTTGGAAAACATGTCATTCTGCAAAATCAAACTCAAAATGCATTTGGCGGGTTAGGGCTCTGCTTTTCTGTCTTCATAACTGAGCATTTCACCTGCTACTGCCTTTATATCCTGCACCTCTGGCACGTGGTTTCTCTAAGCGCGTCTCACAGTGCTCAGGCGCTACCCTCACCCAGGGTCCCGGGGCTTTGACCCAGAGTGCCTTAAAGGGTGCTTGACAGCACCTAACCAAAGACACAACTCGAAATCCAGCAGCGCCCGGGAATCTCTGCAGATCTCTCTCTCAGAGGCAGAGGAAGCCCCAGGGGATGACAGGCTCCTGTTCACCATTCCTGACATCTGTGAGGGATGGGCTGGTGCCCCTGAAGATCAGACCCGCCTTCCCTCTGCAGCTTTACAGCAGCCCCACCTTGTGGCTAATTCCTTCTGCAAGAAGGACTCATCCTCTCCAAAGAAAAGTCCATTATGGAAAATCAATGACGCAGTGAACTGATGGATGTGTAACACATAATAAACCCTGCTCATGCATTATTGAGCAACCTGTCTGTTGCGGCTTTAAATATTTTAGGCAAGCTAGTAATTTCTGGAAAGTAAGACAAGATACCTTTAATGACTATGGAAACTGGGAGAACTACACCTCATCCTTTTCTGATGCAGTTAGCAATGGAACAGTTAGTGATAAAATTCCCACTTTAAATTTTTTTTTTAAAAAAAAAGGAGAAAGTTTCCCTGCCACCTTCTCTCTCTCGTTTTATATCAATATGTACATGTTAGGTCTGGAAAGAACGTTACTGAGCAGAGCTGCCACTATACGATTATAGGAACAAATGCTGCTAAGGTCGATTTTGTTAAACACGATTATGTGTCTAGCACCATGAGTTCTATCAAAGTCGAATGGCCTCTGCCCTGGGCAAGCTCCTAGTCAAATGGGAGGCACCGACATCTACAGAAGTAATTTTATGCAAGGTCAATTTGTTAGGTCTAACAATGAAGCATGGTGGCCCGCACCTGTGATCCCAGCTACTCAGGAGGCCAATGCATGAGAATCTCTTGAACCCGGGAGGCAGAGGTTGCAGTGAGCCAAGACTCTGCCACTGCACTCCGGCCTGGGTGATGGAGTGAGACTGTCTCAAAAAAAAAACAAAACAAAAGGACTAACAATGCATTACGGTGGCTATAGACACAGACTCTGGGGCAGACTGCCCGCCCGGGAATTAGGGTTCTGCCCATCACTAGCTGTGTGACCTTGACAAGCTTCTACTTAACCTTCTCTGTCTCAGGTTCTTCCCCTGTAAAGTGGGCATAATAATGGTATGTACCACCTGAGGTCACTGTGAGGACTGAAGATGGCACAGATGGAAGCAGTTTTCATACTGGTACAATTACACCAGCACATGAGGTAAGCATGAGCCGACCATGGCAAAGCTCTAGGAGGAAAGTCCAGAGAACTGGAATCTGTGGCCCAGTTCTAAGCAATGATGAGAATTTCAGCAGGCGGTGAAGGGAGAGGAAGCTCGTTTCACAAACACGGTCAACCTGAGCAAGTGTCTGCAGTAAGTGGAACAGAGTCCCCGACAGCAGTGCAGGCCGAGAACGCGGCTACGGTCTCAGGCACCACAGCTGCAGGTACAGGGAGTGTAGGGGTGTCCCCGGGAGACCAGCTGGACTGGGATCCACCTGCACAAGGTGCTGAGTGCCAAGACAAAGAGCCTGAGCGTTATTCCGTAGGCAATGACAGCCCAAGAAGCAGGTATCACCATGGTGAAGAACACGGATTCTGGGTTTGAATCAGCTCCATCTCTCACACGCTGTGTGGCCTTTGGCAAGGCACCCAGTCTATCTGTGCCTCTGTTTTCTCACCTGCAGTGAGGTAAAATCAGCTGCAGTGAGGGTTACGTGAGTGTTGATATGCAAAGTGCTTAGAACAGCATGTGACACACAGTGACATATATAAGTGTTTGATATGAAAAGGCAGAACAGGCCGGCACAGGGGCTCACACCTGTCAGCCCAGCACTTTGGGAGGCCGAGGCGGGTGGATCACCTGAGGTCAGGAGTTTGAGACCAGCCTGACCAACATGGTGAAACCCCATCTCTACTAAAAATACAAAACTTATCTGGGTGTGGCAGTGGGCACCTGTAATCCCAGCTACTCAGGAGGCTGAGGCAGGAGAATGGCTTGAACCCGGGAGGCGGAGGTTGCGGTGAGCCGAGATCCCGCCACTGCACTCCAGCCTGGGGGACAAGAGCGAGACTGAGCCTTAAAAAACAAAAGCACAACAATGGCCTACGCCACCTATTCCCATCGTCCTGAGACGAGCCTTCAGAAGACTTTGAGCAGCTGGTTCTGGTGAGGGTGTAGTCAAGGATGAGACCACTCTACTACTACTCAAAGCACTACCTGAAAACAAATGTTCTCTTTTGACAAAAGCTCCCACCGTCCATGAAGAAATTTTACCTCAATGGAACAAAGTCAAAGCTGGCCCTGAACTGAGGTGCACACACGACCAAGCAACATGACCGTGACATGACTTTATGAGATCCCCGGCGCCCACACAAAGGGGCGCGTGGCCCCGTTTCCGGGAAGACAGGATCTGTGCTAACTTTCGAATGACGGAAAGGCTGGACTGTGTCGCGGCGGGACGGAGGTGTGGTCGTGACCGCTAGACGGCCTCTAAGGTGAGGACTTACTTCCAGGTCCGTCCTTGACTCTAGGTCCTTCAGGCTTGGCCTCAGAAATGATGTTGGCATTGCCATTATTCTCCATCTCAATCACGAAGTCACCGTCTTCTTCAAACTCGGGGTGGCTGAAGATCCAGTCCAGGGCTCTTTCCAGGCTGTGATTCTAGCGACAGAAGAGAAACATGCGTTTATGGGATGCGCGCAGCCTCAGGCCTCGCTGTGTCCCGGCCATGTCAACTGGATGTCACGCGGACGGGGAAGGAGGCCTGGATTCCCCAGCCCTCCGCGCCTCTGCGTGAGCAGCTCCGACTCCGCGTGACGAGCACTCCCGCTGGACACCTGCAATTGGATTCCCTGGAAAACAGCTCTGAGCAGCAGGTCAGCATCCCAAAGCCTCTGTCAGCGTGAGCCCGGCATTTCTGAGGAAGACGCTGGTAATGATAGGTGTGGGATCACCAAGGCTCCGGCATTTGCTTAAGGGCAGCTCTTTCTAAAGCCACTTCAGTGGCACACACTACCTTCCCTGCCAACTGTATTTTCTGCAGATAACTGCACGGTACAGGGATGCCGGTGTGAGCACTGCGTGAGAGCCTTCTCTCCGGGAATGTCGGTAAAATGGTTGAACTGCGGTAAAGACAAGATTAACATCTTGATTAATGATGACAACACTGACTAGCCAAGTGTAATTGTTTAAACTGGACTCCATGTACTTCAAACTAATTGGCCATAAACATATTTCCAGCTTTCTCAGCTTGTGATACCACTGGCAGGTTAAAGAATCTATATAGATACAGACGCTCTAATGAAACAGTCGGGCAGATCAAATGAGTGGGGCACAAGAAAGGACCTCAAGCAGAACAGGCTCCGGTTGAGATCCTTTAAGCATCTGAAAGGGAGACAGATTGTTCTAGCCACATTCTCATGAGACCGTCAAGAGCCACAGCAACCTCAGCAACAAACCCCAGCAGGCACTCCATCAGGACAGGCAAGAAGTCGTTGAGACCAGATATCTACTCAAAAATGGATGATGGTGTGACCAGGAAGGATGGCTTTTGTTTTAGTTTTGGGTTTGGTTTTTTCTTTTCTTTTTTTTTTCCACTAAGACTTACAAGATGAAAGGATGGGTTTTTTAAAGTACTTTCCCTGAATATTAAACCAATATCAGCACTGCAGAAGGGACTCATCTACCCTAGAGTTTCAGGGTCCCTTGTTTCTTGGATCAAGAAGCTCACGACTACCTGAAGAACCTTCTCTTTCTAGAGAGAAAATGCAGCGAGAATTCCAAGGAGGCATTCAGTCTTCCGTGAGGACTTTTAAGAGACCTTTATCCAAGGTCTTGGTCTCAGAAAAGCATTACATCTCTTCAAGGACTTCTTACTGGACACGGGATTCCATCGGCCCTCCTTCCTCTAGGGCCACAAGCAGGCTTCAAGTCAAATCTGTGACCCCCATTAACAAACATTCAAGGAGATAACAAGTTTCTCTCGATTTGCTCCTATTATCCCAGCTTTACTATCGCCTTATTCTTAAATTCTCTGTGTGAAAATTATTTATTTTAGCTTTATGTGTACAATATACAAATAAATCTTTATGTGCTATGGTGAGATTCATAGATGAACATGAATCAAAATGATCAAAGTACACTGAAACTGCTACAGAAATAAATTCACACACACACATACACGCCTCACACACACGCAACACACATACACACACACAAACGTACACACACACTCATACACATTCACACACATTCACTCACATACACACTCATACACACACAAACGTGCACACACACATACATTCACACACACTCAAACACACACGCCCACACACACACACTGATACACACTAATGTGCACACACACATACACATTCACACACATTCACTCACACATACACACTCGTACACACACGCATACAAACGTGCACACTCACATTCACACACATTCACTCTCACTCATACACACTCATACACACACATACACACATGCACACACACTTGACACATACACACGTGCACTCATACACATTTACATCCATACACGCACACACATACACTCACATACACACGTGCACACACACACGTTCACTCACACACTCATACACACTCATACTGCCCACACGCACATACACTGACACACACTTGTGCACACACACTCATACTCACACATGCACACACACACACAAACACACACACTCACGCACACAGTCTCATGCTCACCGTTGCTCGCAGTGCCTGGATAGCCTGATTTCGCTGAAATCCCATGGAGGTGATGATAGCTACGATTTCCTCTGGAGGCTGGTTATCCAATCCAGCAGCACCAAAAACAGAGGCTCCGGCAGAAGCTGCCCCTCCGTAACCAGGCATGGTCAGCGGTTCAGCAAAATCTGAGGAAGATAAACACACTCAAGTCTTTTCCTTTTTTCTTTTTTGTACTGAAACAAACAACACTAACCAGAAAAAACATGATTCCACAAATTTAGAATAATCAAGACAGTCCGGGCCATGTGCAGCGGCTCCCACCTGTCAACTCGGCACTTTGGGAGGCCGAGGCGGATGGCTCAGCTGAGGTCAGGAGTTGGAGACAAGCCTGGCCAACATGGCAAGACTCCGTCTCTATTAAAAACACAAAAATTAGCAGGGCGTCGTGGTGCATGCCTGTTATCCAGCTACTCAGGAGGCTGAGGCACAAGAATCACTTGAACCCCCGAGGTGGAGATTGCAGTGAGCCAGTGAGCCGAGATGGCACCACTGCACTCCAGCCTGGGCAAAAGAGCGAGGCTGTCTTAAAAAAAAAGACAGTCTGGTGTTGGTATAAAGACAGACATACAACTTAATAGAACTGAGATTCCAGAAATAAAGCCATATACCTGTGGTTAACTGATTTTCAACAAGACCATTCAGTGGGGAAAGGACATTATGGGACAACTGGATATCAACATACAAAAGAATAAAGTCAGACCTCACCTGACATCACACACACAATTAACCCAAAATGGGCCATTGACCTAAATGTGGGAGCTAAGACCATGATCACCGTAGAAGAAAACACAGGAGTAAATCTTTTTGCCACTGGATTAGGCAATGGTTCCTTATTTACAATACAAAACACACAGTGATGAAAGAAAAAAGTTTTTAAAAATTGTTTAAATTTTTTGTGCTTCAAAGGATCCCGTCAGGAAAGTAAAAACACAACAGAATAGGGGGAAATTACCAATCATAAATCTCATAGAAACTTGCATCCAGAATATGAAAAGAACTCTTAGAACCCAACAATAAAAGGATAACTTCACCGGGCGCGGTGGCTCAAGCCTGTAATCCCAGCACTTTGGGAGGCCGAGGCGGGTGGATCACGAGGTCAAGAGATCGAGACCATCCTGGTCAACATGGTGAAACCCCGTCTCTACTAAAAATACTAAAAATTAGCTGGGCATGGTGGCGTGTGCCTGTAATCCCAGCTACTCAGGAGGCTGAGGCAGGAGAATTGCCTGAACCCAGGAGGCGGAGGTTGCGGTGAGCCGAGATCGCGCCATTGCACTCCAGCCTGGGCAACAAGAGCAAAATTCCGTCTCAAAAAAAAAAAAAAAAAAAAAAAAAAAAGGATAACTTCATTAGAAATGGATGAAGAATTTGAAAAGACACATCCCCAAACAAGATATACCATCAGTAAACACATGCAAAGATGCTCAATGTCATAGTCATTAGGAAAACGCAAATCAAAACCACATGACACCACCTCACACACACTGGGACGGGTATGCTAAAAAATGTAATAATAAGGGTTAGGCCGATACAGGAAAACTGGAACTCACATTCCTTACTGGTGGAAATGTCAATCGGTTCAGCCAGTGTGTAAAACAGTTTGGTATTTCCTCAAAAAGTTAAACATGGAGTTACCATATGACACAGCAATTCCACTCGAGAGAAGTAAAAACAAATGTCCATCCACACAAAAACTTGTACAAAAATGTTTACAGCAGCATTGTTCATAAAAACCCAAAAATGTAAATAACCCAAATGTCTACAAGCTGATAAAGATTAATAAAATGTAGTATATCCATACGATAGAGTATTATTTTTTTATTATTGACAGAGTCTTGCTCTGTTGCCCAGGCTGGAGGGTAGTAGTGCAATCTCAGCTTGTCTCCTGGGCTCAAGCAATTCTCCTGCCTCAGCCTCCCAAGTAGCTGGGACTCCAGGTGCCTGCCCCCATCCCCAGCCAATTTTTGCATTTTTAATAGAGACGGAGTTTCAACATGTTGAGTAGGCTGGTCTTGAACTCCTGATCTCAAGTGATCCACCTGCCTCAGCCTCCCAAAGTGCAGGGATTACAGGTGTGAGCCTTCACGCCCAGCCCAATAGACTACATTATTTTACCATAAAAAGGAATGAAGTACTGACACATGCGACAAATGAATGAATCTTGAAAACATTACACTGTGATAGAAACCAAACACAAAAGAGCTCATATGTATGACTCCATTTATGTGCAATGTCCAAAACAGGCAGATCCCTTGATCTAGAAAACAGAGTCCTGGCTGCCAGGGCCTGGGGTGAGTGGGAAAATGGGGAGTGACTGCTAATACACGAGATTTCTTTTGGGGGGTACAAAGTCTGCTAAAATTAGAGAGTGGTCATGGCTTGGATAGTGCTCTGAATTTACTAAAATCCACTGGAATGTACGCTGTAAATGAATATATGCATTATAGCCTAAAAAAGTAGATAAAAGAAAACGCTAACTCAACAGCCTCCATTTCTTCACGCCCAGGCTTTCACTTCAAGTTCTCAGCATTTCTTAGAAGCATACCCCAAATCTTTCTATTGGCCTTTTTGCCACTGACTTACACACTTTAAAGGGGTGAATTATATCTCAATAAAGCTGTTGTTTTTAAAAAGAGAAGAAAGACAAAGACTAGCTTTCTCCCCCCGCTGTAGCAGATGAGGAACTGTAAAGTCACTTTCTAGGGAGACCTCCGCAGGGGCCTGGAAGGACCAGGACGCAGCATCACGGGGTCACGTCGGGCTCCAAAGCCATTCCGTTCTCCCGCCACCTACCTGGCTCTTCCATGTGAACAATGATCCAGTTGAAGGCCACCTCGGCGCCCATATTTCCAGTGAAGTACACAGCCTTGCGACATGCTTCCAGGGGGAAACCCATCTCGGCCAGCTGCATCACAGACGACTCATCAATGTCTGATGCTACAGAGCACAACAGGACAGTCCAGTGTGAAAAGGAAATGCTGCTGCTTCTTGTCCTGGCTGCGCACCACGTGCTCATCCACACACCCCCCAAAGAAAGTGCTGTCGTGTTGGGTGTAAATAATGGTTTCACTTTGTTGAGTTTTGTTGTAAGCCTTCCGAATATTAAGCTATTTGGGCTAACTTTCTTTTTTTTTTTTTTTTTTTTTTTGAGACGGAGTTTCGCTCTTGTTACCCAGGCTGGAGTGCAATGGCACGATCTCGGCTCACCGCAACCTCTGCCTCCTGGGCTCAGGCAATTCTCCTGCCTCAGCCTCCTAAGTAGCTGGGATTACAGGAACACGCCACCATGCCCAGCTAATTTTTTGCACCTTTAGTAGAGACGGGGTTTCACCATGTTGACCAGGATGGTCTCGATCTCTCGACCTCGTGATCCACCGGCCTCGGCCTCCCAAAGTGCTGAGATTACAGGCTTGAGCCACCGCGCCCGGCCTTGGGCTAACTTTCTATCTTGACCCAAATAGGACCCAGATTAATTACCCAGACAATCCAATCTGGGAATACACTAAATCTCCCCATAGGAAATTAGAGAAAAACAATTCCTGGAACGATTTCAGAGCATCCTCAAAACCTCTCCAGCAGCCTCTCCTGTGGCTGAAACTTGAAGGGGAAAGCACTATCTACAGCCGATAAAGCCTGTTCCTTAAACCTCGCAGAAAGTTCCTGCAGGCCTTTCCATCCATCTGGCAATCGTAGGAAGCAATCGGCTCTGGGAGCTGGAGAGTCCAAATGTTAAGTATAGAAGGAAAAAGTTCCTTGTTTAATCACGCAAGTTTAAAACATTGAGAGACAGATTTACAAAGTAACTTGGGCTCAGACACAGAGAGCTTTGTTTTCTTTTCTTAATAATCTATAGATACTGGTAGAGATGTGTGTGAATCTGTGTGTCTATGCGGATACAGACACACACACACTGCTCTCACATATACCAAAAGAGGAGAAAAGCTGGAATGGCAGGCCAAGATTCCAACCCCGGGTGGCTTAGCCTCGTGCTGATGGTCACCCTCCTGAGCCCCACAGGCCACCTGATCAGCAAGTCACCGACTAGTGGACAGAGAACCGTTCCCACCCGGGAAAAGCAGCACACGCAGACCTGCAGAAGAATGGCTCTGTACTGAACTCTCACACACAGGTGCATCAGAGTAATAACAATAAGACTTGAGAAACATTTTTAAAGGTACATACGGTCTATCAGTTGGTTCATCAGGCGATCTGGAAATGAAGGGAGAGGACGGAAAGTCAGAAGAGCTTTAGAAAAAGAAAACCTGCTGATCCAGGGTACCCCATGCCCTCCCCACTCCTGGGGAGCCACATACTGCTGTCAATCCCGCAACCCCACACCGACTGCCCCAGCCTCAGTGAGGAGAGAAGGCAATCACTTTCAGGCATTTAGGTCAGTTACAGCATGACACCCTGATCATTATCTGAACAAACGACTATTTCCCTATTATCTCCCTATTATTTCTTCTTGAAAAAAACATTTTTTTTTTGAGACAGGGTCTCACTCTGTCGCCCAGGCCAGAGGGTGGGGCAGCAATCGTGGCTGGCTGCAGCCTCAACCTCCTGGGCTCAGGTGAGCCTCCTGACTCAGCCTCCTGAGTAGCTGGAACTACAGGCACGTGTCACCAGTCACCACGCCTAGCTAATTTTTAAATTTTTTATTTTTTGTAGAGATGGTATATCACTATACTGACCAGGCCAGTTTCGAACTCCTGAGCTCAAGTGACCCTCCCACCTCGGCCTCCCAAAGTGCTGGGATTACAGGCATGCACCACTGCATCCAGCTTCTCTCTGTATTTCTAAGAGCTTTATGTAACTACAATCCAAAGTTTCTATTATGAGCATCAGAGAGAGCTGGAGCAGCACTAATAAGCCATCTTGTATTTATCTGACGCTCGTGCTGATCCTTCTTCAACCCCTTTATGAACCACCTGAACTCTGTGACCTAGAACGTCCCTTCTCTCTCTCTCTATAATTTAGCATCTGACCGAACATCGGAGAACATACACAGATGTCTATCTGAATCTGTCTTGCCCCTAGACTCACCTTATGCTTCCTTTATACCTGATCATGGTCACCAATAACACTGACTGTTTCCCTGACGGAAACCCTTTAGGAGAGGGTCCCAGAGTGCTCGGTCATTGCCAGTTAATTTACCTGAGTAACGCACCAGGCAGGTGAGCAAACAAAGCCAGAATGAAACTGAGTCAATCAGGATAACTGAGCTAATACTTAAACCAAGATTTTTCTGACACTGTTTTTGAACCCACAAAGGTGAGGCAACTGTTTCTGGCATGTCTTTTTCCACAAAAAAGTTATGTATTCTGAACAGTGACCAGGGACAGGGTCACAAAGTCAAAGAGAAACTCAAACCTCTTCCTTTCTCCGAAGCAGTAACAGAGTTGGGGAGTTGAGATGCCATCACGGTTTTTAAAACCAGCTCACACTGTTGAATTTCCCCTTTGGGTTGTTCAGAGGTATTCCCAAGAATGCAATGACACAGCTTCCCAGACTAAGGCCCTACCAAAAAACACGGTCCATTTCAACCCCGTATGATGGGTCTGTGCTTGCTGCAATGTCTATTCTGCGTTTCCTGCTGCAGCAGGGTCCCCCTTCTGTGTGCTGGTGAGGGTTACATCACAGGAAGGCGGCTAGACGCCCCGTGGGTGGCGGCAGCAGCGACAGAGTGCTGGAAGGGAGAGTGTTCCTAGAGAACGCGGTGTGAGGGTCGAGCGTGTTCTCCTGGCAGGAGATGGTACCTTTGGAGTCATCGGGAATGACGATGGGGGGGCTGATGTCTGGAAGTTCCTCCTCTCCCGGCTGCAACCCCCTGGCTCGGAGGTGGTTGATATCAAGCAGGTCTGGCATATCAATAGAAACATCTGCAAAAGGAGAGAGATTATACCCGCGGGGCTGTCCACAGCCACCTTGTCATAACACCATCATGGTGACTACGTGCACGCGTCTAGGCAGAGCTAAGGGATGTTTTCAATTCCCTAGAATACGTCTCTCCACCGGTGGGGTTTCAGCGGAGAACCCGCGGAGCACAGTGGGTGGCCGGATCTCACACCCAGCCAGAACACGTCACTTAAGCCTGAGGTCACAAACTGGCAGCCCAAAGACCGTGTGTGGCCCACACAATCTGTTCGATACTTTAAAAGTGTTGACAACAAATTCTAATTTTTGAATCAGAAGATGTAAAAGTTAGATTTCCAGCTTCTTTGGAAAAGCGTAAAGCTGTTGCGTATTCTCCTACAGCAACACCCATCTGGAGCTGGCCTTCAGCTTCCGCCCCAGACAATGGGCAACGCGAGTGACCTGCGCCAGGGCCCTGCGGCTCCCTGAGCATCATGTCTGTGCTGGTCTGATTCTCATGGCAGTTTTCCAGCTCAGCTCTTTATTCACAGTGGGAATATCCGAGCAGGGCCGAGACGGCTACGAGCTTCCCACATGCAGCCCCCTTCTTTCATTTGATTATGAACTACCCGGTCCTTGGTAGGCATTTGGGTTTGCAATCCCACGTGATGATGCAACTCATTCTCAGATCACGCTGGTGCTGTGGGTATTCTATGGTTTGAATAACAATGAAGTTTTAAGGAAACTAACTGACTCTCAAGTGTAGTGTCTCCACCATGCATTTGTTAACTTCTTGGCTCCACTGCTGTGTAGACTTATTTAAATACAAAATTTCTCAGACTAATACCCTGTCAAGATGAGTATACTAGTGAAAAATGGGTCCAAATGTTGGTATAAGGTACATCTTTTGGGCTAGTAAACAACCTGAAAATACTGTCCCCAAAATGAGTTATGAGGCAAGCTACATAAATCCTATTTTAAAACAACAATCTGAAAAACAAAGCTTAATTTAAAAAGCGAATTTAAATTTCAGGGCGTAGCAAAACCAAACGTAAAAACTGACCAAGAAAATCAACACAATCTGTTCCTTCAGAGAGAAATTCAGGTTCATTAAATAAAACTTTGAGGTTCCTTAAAATTCAGCAAGTCAATGAAATCTGATTCAAATTTTATATTCCTTTACAGAAATTCCAAGGACAAAGAAAATAAGCAAACCACGTCCAAGGTGGTTCAAAGCCTTCAGAGCAAGAGAGTTTTTTTCTCTCGGGTACTTTTCAGGTCCCTGGAAGAAAAGCTGAGTGGTCAGCCCCCCGCCCTCTGCCCTCAGCTGCTCACGAAACTGGTGGAAGAGGGAGGCCTCCTGCAGGTGCATAACAGCCCGGCACAATTTCACGTGGCAAACAAGGGCTGTGCAACTGTTAGTGCCGAAGGTCTCCAGGAAGTCACTCCAGCCAATTCCACATCCTTCTTAACTATCCCCTTCAGACGAGTACTGTATCAGTGTAAGACTGAGCTGGGTTTTTTTCTTAGGTACTTAAAAACATTAAAACTTGAAAAGCCTGGCAAGTAATCCAAAGTACTTGCTTGAGAAACGGTACATTCTTCCACACCACTGAGGATGGCCTCGCAATGCTGGAGAAAGGCTTTTACGTACCGTCTGGAAAACTAACCTCCAGCAATGGTCAGAACCTCTAAAGTCAGCACAAAGAAAGCCTAATGAAGTCAAAAGCCCAGCCTTTGTTTTAACTGCCTAATGCAACTGGCTTTTTCTATTTTACTATTAACAACGTGTGTGTGATGTAAGTGAATGTCATTAGCCACGCCTGCCTGCTCACAGGCAGAGGACAGAGCGTCTCCAGCTGCTGGCTGCGCAAAGCGCGGTCTATGGACCAGCAGCGCCAGCAGCACGTGGAGCTGGTGAGAAACACAGAATCGCAGGCCCACCCCAGACCTGCCTAATCTGCGTCTGCATGTCACCAAGATCCCAGGTAAATCCTACACACGTTCAAGTTTGGAAAGTGCTGTTTTCTGACGACGTGAGGATTCTGTTTACACTCTTAGAATCCGGTCATTCTGGAAGCCCCCATAACTGGAGGGGTGAGTGAGCAGGCGGCAGTGTCTGCCGTCAGTTCTTATCATATATCCCAGTTCAAAACAGAAAGGCGGGCGTGTGAAGCGTGAAATGGAGCTGTCTGTTGCAGCCGACTACGTGGGCTCTTTCACATGCCATGTTGTTTAAATGGCTCATTTGATGTTTTAAGCAAAAGCATGCAAAAGATACCTACCAAATTTTTTGGGAACCCAGTCAAGACCAAAAGTGAACTTCTTTATCTGCACTACCAAGTATTCAGGGAATGAGGCGAAGCGAGATGTTCTGGGAAACACAAGGGGACATGTCAATGCAACGAGGCAGTAAGAATTGTGAAGACAGTTCAAAAAGCACATCAACTTTGTCTGAGGCACACCCGGCCATTCCCACAGCTGAGGAGGAGGAACACACAAACACAGACACATTAGTGGACACACACTCACTCTCGTCCGCTCACTTGGCCTGGCCTTTTCACAAGAAGAAAATGTTTAATGTTGTCCTTTAAGAACGCTTCTGGGGCCAGGCGCAGTGGCTCACACCTGTAATCCCAGAACTTCAGAAGGCCGAGGTGGGCAGATCACCTGAGGTCAGGAGTTTGAGACCACTATGGTCAACATGGCAAAACCCCATCTCTACTAGAAATACAAAAATTAGCCAGGCGTGGTGGGGCACACCTGTAATCCCACCTGCTCTGGAGGCTGAGGCAGGAGAATCATTTGAACATAAGAGGCGGAGGTTGCTATGAGCCGAGATTGCACCACTGCGCTCCAAGCTGGGCAACAGAGCAAGACTATGTCTCATAAAAATAAAAATAAAAATAAATAAAAATTTTAAAAAAAGGAATGCTTTTAGACCTGTTTCAAAATTGTTACTTTTACATTGCTGTGGTGTTTCATATTTCTGAAAAGTGCTTTTTAACCATTTTTTTTTCTGAAATCCTTGCTAAGATTTAGTACACATCTTTTTAACTGCTGATAACATGCATGCATGTGTACACGCACGTGGGGTTTGAAACGGCTCCCCGCGTGACACTGAAACCCCCCACCTCCCCTTCCACACAGAGTCACCGTCTTCCAGCACAGAGTTGGCAGACAAAGGGCTGATGGAAACTCTCGTTGAGGCTGACTACTGGAAATGCCAGGGCCTCATTAAAATACTGCAGTGCCTAACCCGTAGCATATTATGAATACGTATCCAAAACATCTGAATCTGGGCCGTGCCGTCTAAAACTAATACGCATCAGCAGTCTCTTCAACTATCTTCAGACTTTCAGAAAGGCTCCGCTGCCTGGGCCTGGATTCCACAATCACACACCCAGACTGTTCAGCTCGTACACCAGATTCAGACCTACTTCCAGCTCATTCGCTCCCACTTACCAGCTTGCTTCTAACAACCATTTCTATGTGTGGTCAATGGTGGTGTGGTGGGCCCGTATAAAAAAGAAAATGAGCTGTTGGCAGGTATCGCAGATGCCTTATAAAATAAAAAACTCTGGAATTAATCATCTACGGCCATACCACCCTGACCAATCTCGTCTGATCTCGGAAGCCACGCAGGGTCGGGCCTGGTTAGTACTCGGACGGGAGACCGCCTGGGAATACCGGGTGCTGTAGGCTTTAAATTTCAAAAATAAAATTCTAGAACATCCTTCCCATCCCACTCTCCAAATCTAAGTCATTGCCTTCTATTTGCAACGCATTGGCCCAGAGCTTTGAAAACAAATGCAAGTGTTTGCTGCCCCCTCGTGTCAGAGAAAAGACACAACACAGGGACAGATCTGGGGACGTGGCTATGGGCCTTAGAAAGGCCACCGCATTCGCTCCACATCTGGGCAATCCACGGACCCACCCGATCCATCTACAAAAGGGACTTACTCATTTCTGCCTGCCAGGCCGTGCAACATTCGTGAAATGAAGTGAACTCACCTGGCACCCTAGAGAACATTGTGTATACCCGAGGAATTTAATTAGCATGACTGCTTCGTCGTGGAAGACCTAGAAGCTATGAAGCCTTGGATGCTGAACTGAACTGTCACTGATCTGTATTTTGCCCCAGGCAAGTTATTTAATTTCTCTGTGTCTTAAATTCTCCATTACAAAGTGGGTAGAAGAGAAAGGCAATAATATAAAAGATATTCAGAAAACAGGAGCTTTCTCATCCCAAGCAACTTAATCTACCACTGGCCAGGCTCACTCTCCAGAAATTATATATTACCTCTAATTAGGTTTTATGATCTTCTGAGGAGCAGTCATAAACACCATTCTTATTTAAGTGTCATCAAGTCCTCAACTCCATCTGGTATTATAATTTTTTTTTTTTTTTGAGATCGAGTTTTGCTCTTATTGCCCAGGCTGGAGTGCAGTGGTGTAATCTCGGCTCACTGCAACCTCCACCTCTTGGGTTCAAGCGATTCTCCTGCCTCACCCAAAATGCTGGGATTACAGGTGCCCACTACCATGCCTGGCTAATTTTTGTATTTTTAGTAGAGATGGGGTTTCTCCATGTTGGCCAGACTGGTCTCGAACTCCTGACCTCAGGTGATCCACCCGCCTCAGCCTCCCAAAGTGCTGGGATTACAGATATGAGCCACCGCACCCAGCCATGGTATTTTAACTAATGTAAAAATGTCGTTTTTCTGACCTCCTCTTCCTACCACATTAGCTTAAAATGTGGAAAATACCTAACAGTGAAATCAACCAAAAGACACTGGTGAATCAATAATTTCCAAAATATGACTCAGGACCCCTGAGACGTGAAGCTGCTCTGTGGTGTCGAGGTGGGATGTCAGCTGTGACACCACAGTAAGGGTAACGGAAAAACTCAAGGCTGGGGCAGGGATAATTTAACACATCGCTGTGTCATGGGTAACAGCCAACCTAAAAGCACCAGAAAGTAGATTTAATGGTGTTCAAATTCGATTTTCCCTGTCAGGCCAAACATCCTTTATTCGTCTTTGTAACCTCTCTAGGGTCTCAAGTTGAAGCACTCACATGTGCAATACGTGTCTGTTCAAATCCATCTCAAACGTTACGCTTTGCATTCATTTATTGCAGGTGGGGGCATCAGGCAGTCACATCTAGCAAAGTCAAAAATTATGCTCAGCTTATTCTTTTATTACCAAAATTAATTTCTGGAATTGAAATATCCTTGGAAATGGTATGTTTTTAATAAAGACCATTAGAATGTAAATCATTCAGAGATCTAGATAGATGGCAAATTTACTTGGAAGAGCTGTTAAGGGAATTAAATGAGTTAAGACATAAACTGCTTACAACAGGTCCCAGCAACAGCACTGTGGTGTCTGTTAACAACCTGTCAGCATTATTTAAAACATATTGATTGTTCACCAATTACAATTAAGGCAAAAATAGGATAAAAATTTTGTTGAGAAAGAAAAACTATCCCTCTCCCTGACATTGTCAACTGTATTGAAAATCTAACTAAAAAAATAAATCTTACCCCGTCTACTTGTTGAAAACATAATCATCAATCCACCTCACTCAAATTATATCATCAAAGACAAAAAACTAGAAGCTAAATATAACGGAAATAACAATTCTGTCCTGTATTTGCCCCGTGTGAAGCACTTTACATGGCTCATCTCCCTAAATCCTTACCCCAGCCCTGTAAAGAAAGTACCATGATTACCCCACTTTGTGGATAGGGAAGCCGGAGCTGAGGGCAAGGTCACCTAGCCCAGGTCACACACCAGCAAGTTCTAGACTGGGCGTTCGAACGCTGGGCGTCCACCTGGAGTCTGTGCCGTGCAACCCCACACCAAGCTCTTCTCTTTATAAATGATGGTGGGTAAGTAAAAATCTCTCCGTCAACTCTTCACCTGTGAGCTGCCTGAGGGCAGGAGTTAGGTCTGGATCAACCCATTGCCTAGAATATGCTAAGTGAGCAATAATATTTGCTGAGTGAATGAACCTTCCAAGCACAAACATTCTTCCCACACCCAGTCTGTTCACGATCATTTAAGAGAAGGGTCTGTATGTCTGGCCTGTCCTGATGCAAGTTCCACCAAGATCTTCAGGAACTTTTTGCCACTTCCTGGTCTTTTCAGGCTCTGGGTGTAACAAAGAAAAACCCGAGGCCCCAGATTAACAAAATGTAGACTGAATCACAGCCTCCATTGCTGGAAATAAAAATAAGATCTCTTAGAAACCCACTAAACTTGTTTTCTCAGAACTAGTATTTGAAACATGATAAATCATAATTTTAAAAAAAAAAAAAAAAAGCAAGGCTCTTGACTGGGTGCGGCGGGTCATGCCTGTAATCCCAGCACTTTGGGAGGCCGAGGCGAATGGATCATGAGGTCAAGAGATGGAGACCATCCCAGCCAACATGGTGAAACCCCATCGCTACTAAAAATACAAAAATTAGCCAGGCGTTGTGACCCACACTTGTAGTCCCAGCTCCTTGGGAGGCTGAGGCAGGAGAACCGTTTGAACCCGGGAGGCGGAGGTTGCAGTGAGCCGAGATCATGCCATGGCACTCCAGCCTGGGTGACAGAGTGAGACTCCATCTCAAAAAAAAGAAAGAAAGGGCCGGGCGCGGTGGCTCAAGCCTGTAATCCCAGCACTTTGGGAGGCCAAGACGGGTGGATCACGAGGTCAAGAGATCGAGACCATCCTAGTCAACATGGTGAAACCCCGTCTCTACTAAAAATACTAAAAATTAGCTGGGCATGGTGGCGTGTGCCTGTAATCCCAGCTACTCAGGAGGCTGAGGCAGGAGAATTGTCTGAACCCAGGAGGCGGAGGTTGCGGTGAGCCGAGATCGCGCCATTGCACTCCAGCCTGGGCAACAAGAGCGAAACTCCGTCTCAAAAAAAAAAAAAGAAAAAGAAAAAAAAAAAAGAAAGAAAGAAAAAAAGAAAAAGCAAGGCTCTATGAAAATGCAAGGATAAGCAAGCATGACCAGGAGTATGGGGGCCCGGTAACCGGCATTGAGAGTTCGAACTTGTCAGACGGGGACGAATCCCACGTCTGCCACTTACTGGCCAATGACTTCTTTTATTTCTTCCCTCATAAAACGAGAAAACAATGGTACCCACCTCAGACAACTAAGAGGACGCACTGTGTAACTGACGGGGGGCTCAGCACATGACCCGGTGACAGGAGACGTGCCATACACGGCAGCGGCTTTACCGCCTTTAACACTGTCTTCTTCTCTCCCACTAGGACGAGTTTCCGGTCGCCGACAAACGGATCCCCCAGTACTAATCCTCTCATGTATGGGAGAGGTGCGTGCAGACAGAAAGGAAAAGGAAGGAGGTCCTCGCAGGAGCCGCAGGAAGCAGAAACCCCTCCCCAAGGATTCTAGGTGGAAACGCTCGCACTGCCTGCCACTGCTGAGAGTCTCAGGGCAGGATCATTTCCCATTCCAGACGGAAGGACCCCGGGCGGTGACTCGGCCCCAGGACAGAAGCGACGGTGGGAAGTGGACGCAGGAGAAGAATCTGGGTCTCCTGACCACAGCCCTGGGCTCAGGGAGGCTTGTCTGTGGAGAGCTCGTGCCTCTCAGTCCCCATTTTAAAGACGGGCCATTTCCAGGTGTTGAAAGGCTGCGTCCTGGCAGGACACTTTCAGGGAGAGGCAGGCCCAGAGTGTCACACCTGCACTTCTAAGACACCAGGCCCTTTTCTGAAAAGCAGAATGGGTAGCCCAGGGCCAGGCAGATGAAGAATACCCCACTCTGCAGCTTGCCCCTGATGCTGGGGGCTGTCTAAGCTTCCAGGTCCATGATCGCGTTCCGCCTCCAAAGCGGAATCAGAACAAAAGCACCAAGAGGGAAGGACAAATGCTCCAGGAATCAGTCTTAAGTTACTGTCAGGGGTTTTAAAAATTTTTTCCATCAGTAATAGAGAGTACAGAGCTCTAACTGCCCAGAGTTATCTCTGAGTTGTAATTGAGCATCTCTCATGCTGAACCTGAGAACCCACCGTCACCTGCAAGGACACAAACAGGCCCACGCATGCACGCACGTACACACATGCACACACACACACACGCATGCACACACGCGCGCACACACATGCACACGTGCACACGCACACACACGCACACGCACGCGCGCACACGCACGTGCACACGCACACACATGCACCCACGCACATACACACATGCACACACGCACACACATGCACACACATGCGCACGCATACACACGCACACACGCACACACGTACACACGCACGCACACATGCACACACGCTCACGTGCACACTCACGCACACACGTGCACACACGCAAACACAGCCACCCACACCCGCAGCTGAGCAGTCCTAGAATGGAAACTCACCCAGTGAAGGGTAACTGATACCCGATGAACTGCTAGATGAATTCATCTCCCTTGGATGTGGTGCTTTGAAAACACAATTTTAACAAATATGGCTTGTTTTCCTTTTTTGAAATACACTGTTTTTGCTTTCCTGTTTTTAACATATGAAGTCTATGATCTGAAACGTAGCAGAAGCCTGACAGAGGGGTTTCATAGAGAACAAATAATATAGGTTGGGGCCTGTAATCCCAGCACTTTGAGAGGCTGAGGAGGGCAGATCACCTGAGGTCAGAAGTTCAAGACCAGCCTGGCCAAATAATGAAACCCCCTCTCTACTAAAGATACAAAAATTGGCGGGGCACAGTGGCTTATGCCTCTAATCCCAGCACTTTGGAAGGCCAAAGCATGTGGATCCCCTGAGGTTTTGAATTCAAGACCAGCCTGACCAACAAAGAGAAACTCCATTTCTACTAAAAATACAAAATTAGCTGGGGGTGGTGGCACATGCCTGTAATCCCAGCTACTCAAGAAGCTGAGGCAGGAGGATCACTTGAACCCGGGAGGCGGTGCGCTGAGATCATGCCACTGCACTCCAGCCTGGGAAACAGTGCTAGACTCCATCTCAAAAAAAAAAAATATATATATATATATATATATATATATATATATCAAATATTAGGCAGGTGTGGTGCACTCCCAGCACTTGGGAGGCTGAGGCAGGTGAATCACTTGAACCTGGGAGGCAGAGGCTGCAATGAGCCAGGATCACACTACCGCCCTACAGCCTGGGTGGCAGAGGGAGACTCCTCAAAAAAAACTAATAATTATATATATATATATATATATATATACACACACACACACACACACATATGATGAACTTCTGTTGAGGCCAGGGTACAAACAGCCCACAGCAGCTGTTCCATCCTTTAATCCCCTGTCTGTTAGCCAAAAGCTCAATCTTAGCCTCAAAGAAAAATAGTCCAAGATTATCTGAACATAGCAAAACTCCTGGGGCCAAACTTTCAGACTTCCCTTTGTTTCAGGGCACTGTAAGCACTCTTTGTCCAGTTGGGTGCAGTGATATGGAGTGTGTTGGCAAGGACTCGACTGTATCAAGCCAACTTAGGTGGCAGGTAGAGGAAAAACTTGTATGTGTCTGACAAACAGCCTCACAACGTGACAACAGGACATCTGACCAAAGCCTGGGTCGCTCGTTTCAACAACACTCAGAAGCCCTCCTGCCCACTGTGAGATGTCCTGAGAGTCCTAGACTCCAAGGAGAAACATGGTCAACCATGTTCTAGGCCCAGCCTCTAACTATGGAGTTAAAACATAGCTTAACAGAGTTTAAATGGAGGCCTGTCTTACGTGTTTTTCTGATTTCTTCATTAATAATGGCATCCTTGCCATTTGGGAGTAGGGGTTGTTTCTTGGCTGTACCCTCTTGGTGAGAGAGGGGCAGGGACAGTCAAGGTAGGAAGCGGGGGAGGGAGGGAGGCTCCTAATAGAGAATAAAACACAACCTTACATTTAAAAAAAGAAGCCCCTCCTTAGCACATAATATAAATCACAGGTCTGTTTTACTGGACAGGTCTCACGCAAGTCAAGTCTGATGACAATTAGGATGTGTAAAGCACAATCCCATTCATCACACACAAACAGACAGACGCAGACTCAAATATCGCCCACTTACTCTACCCTACCCCGTCCCCACCTCTCAAGGACCCTCCTCACCCCCCTGCCTACACACACCACACACACTCACACACTTACTTCACACCCGCGGACTTTGCTTGAAGGGCACTGCTCCAGAAATCGTCAACGTTTTCTGGTTCAGAGAAGGCCTGAAGGCAGGCACTAAGCGGTATCTTGGCACGCACCAGCTCAGGGAGGGGTCTTCTGTTCACTTCTGCTTCCCTTCTCGTTAGTTCATAAGCGATCAGTTCATCTGGGTGAAAGAGCAAATGGATGGCCTGCTTATCCTACGGAAATGACAAGCACCCCCTTGGGACAGTGTTCCCTGAGGCTTCTGGGCTGGGCCGGGGTTGCTCATGTGTGGTCCTTTACAGAGCTAGGTGCACCTGCTGAGAGGCTGTTCTCAGCCGTCTGTCGAGTGGCACCGAAAGGCAGCATCGAGCATTCACATCTTTCTGCCTGTTGGCCTGTGAAATCGGCGGGAGGGCAGGGGGGGCGTGGACTGGCCTTGGCGGGTGAAGGCGTCAGAGCGTGTGTGTGATGTAAATGCCCGTGAACCTGGTTTGTCCAAAGGCCAATCCTGGGATTATTCAAATGCCATCCTCCCAACACAGGCCTTCACATCAGAGTATTTTATCTCCAAAGAAGGTCCAAGGGCTCACCTCTCCGCAGCTCTTCGCTGCCTTGCTGAAGAACTCAGGCCCAAAGTCGAAAGCAGCCAGTTACTGACAAAGCTGAACTTCAAACCCTGATCAGCACCGCCTCCCCACCCAGCAGATGAGGCCAGAAAGAGATTAACATCGTGTAAAGGGATCAGTTCTTGCCAATGATCGCACACACATACACAAAAGTAACACAAACATTCCTGTTAACTTCAAGATGTCTTAAAATAGCCAAAGGCGGGGGAGGGGGGAGAAAAAAAAAAAACCAGAACCACCACTAAGCACCTGACAAGAACCAGACCCAGTGTTCGACATTTTCTGATTCGGTTCCACTACGATTAGGGGTCATGGGTCCGGCAGAGGTGTGAGGTGAAGGAGGAGGGCGACAACAGGCCTGCAGTCAGCCACTGTCGCACATCCCACGTGGTAACTTCTTGTTGAGGTTACCCAGCGCCTCAGACATCAGGCCTCCCCACCCAGAAGGCCTCTGTGCTATTCCTGCTCAAACCGTTAAAGTACTAAGGAAAAAGCAGAGCCCCAAGCATCAGCAGATCTGGTGCCGGAAACTAACCTGTAGTCAAAATTTTATACAGATTTGAATGGCCTTTCTCGACATTTCCTTTGCATGACTCAAAAAAAAAAAACAAAAAAACAAAAAAACAGCTCCTGATTTATCAGTTTGTAAGTACACTTACACACATACGTGTTTTCCTGAACACACGTGAGATGCTTTGAAAATTCATTCCCCGTCCCTAGTCAGCTCATGATGTGCTTGTATCAGGGTTGCTAACATTAGGTGTTCCCAGCAGCCAGATTCCAGAGACTAAATTATAAATCTCCTTTCTAAAAGAAAAAAAAATAGCTATCACTAACAAATTCTAAATAGTTAGAAAAGATCATGAACCTGAGAAAGACAACAGAAACCCATGAAGCCTCATTTTAACAAGGAAACAAACCGCAGACCCCACTTTCTTATTTCTGCACTGTGTCACGGGTAAACTGATCAAAAGCTACATGAGCATATAGCAAACGAAAAGCATTTCATCTTAAAATCATCATAATCATCACTTTCCAATTAGCATAGCAAACTGACCATGTCCCCCCACCCACAAGAAAGAGGAAAAAGGGCCATTCAGGGAATTGCTGAACTTTTTTTTTTCTTTATTCTAAAAACAAACCAAGCAGCACACCGAGGATCCACGTGCAGAGCGTGCAGGTCGGTCACACAGGTGTGCGGGCACCATGGTGGTTTGCTGCACCTACTGACCCGTGCTCTAAGTTCCCTCCTCTCACTCCCCACACTCCCCCACAGACCCCAGCATGTGATGCTCCCCTCCCTGTGTCCACGTGTTCTCAGTGTTCAACTCCCACTGCGAGTGAGAACATGGGGTGGTTTTTTGTTCCTGTGTTAGTTTGCTGAGGATGATGGTTTCCAGCTTCACCCATGTGCAAATGAAATGATCTCCTTCCTTTTTATGGCTGCACAGCGGAACTGCTAAACTTAACAAAAAATGGCCAGGTCACAGGAGAGGAGCAATCCAGCAGCTACTCCGTGTTTTTCTGCTTCCACGATGTTAATTCAAAGAAATGCCATTTGTCTGTTCTGCCTGGAAGAACCAGACTAGACTGACGGAGGGACCAAACATGAACCCCCAACTCGGCCTCCTCTCTTCCAGAGCCCAGAGACCCTTCCAGTGGGCTTTGCTTTTACAAAGAACCCTGACACCACTGATCTCCCCGGAGAGGTGGCTGAAATACGTGTGCCAAAGCTGGATTCTTTCAAGAGACCTCCGCTCGAATGTCTAACTTGAAAAACGCAGTCCTGACCATTTCCCTAGGACTTTGTAGTGCAAATAGAAATGATGGGGTTAAAGAATTTTCCACAGGTATCATTACCAATAATTTCCCCCAAAATTATGCTGACTCCAAACCCAATCGCTGGCCACATTCACAGGCATTGAAGCACGTTCCACCCATGGTGCCCCCGTAAAACATGCGGCGCGTTTGATTCTTCTCAAAGGAAGTCACAGGGGAACGAACGAAGACATGAAAGAGACATGGGGGCCGGGTCTACTGCTGACCCTTCAGTGACTAGAACATTCTCTCTGATTCGAGGGCTTTCCCACGCGGACACACGCGGCCCTTGGTTCCCACGCGGAGACACACATGGCAACCCGGTTCCCACGCGGAGACACACATGGCACCCCGGTTCCCATGCGGAGACACGCGGCACCCACTTCCCAAGCGGACACACGCGGCACCCATTTCCCACGCTGACGCACGCGGCACCCACTTCCTACGCTGACGCACGCGGCACTCGGTTCCCACGCAGAAACACACTGCACCCATTTCCCACGCGGACGCATGCGGTGCCCGTTTCCCACTCGGACGCATGCGGCACCCGTTTCACACGCGGACGCGCGGCACCCACTTCCGCTCTGGAACCATTACCTTTGTTGGTCGCCGCCTCCATGGCCACCGGCAGCTGCATCAGGTAATCCACCCTCTCCGTGTAGCGGACCTTCCGGGTCTGGCAGCACTGAATGCGTTCTTCCACCAGAAACCGGAACACGTCACTCGGGTTTTCCGAGCCGATGCGGTTCCTCTGAAGGACGGATGGTGTCGGGTTAGTGAGGGGTTCGCTCGGCTGGGAGAGAACGAGCCGTAACCTGGTGTGAACACCGGCTCCTGCACACTATCCCTCGGGGCGCGGGCCACAGCTCAGACAGCCAAGCACGGGGGCGCGTCTCGTGTCCAAAGACGGGCGTCGGGAAAAGAAAATCCGCTCATCCTGGATTAACAGCTCAACACTGCCAAGCTTAAAAGCACGGGAGGGAAACTCACGGAATGAGAGGAAAGGAGGAGGAAAAGCCAAGAAAAGAGAAAAAAATGAAGTGCTGCCCTGGACAAACGGAAGCACGCGCGATGTGATTCCACAAAGACACGCGTGGAATCAGGCAAGACGGAAACTGCGCTGTTAACGGATGCGGGGCCACGTGGCGGAACGTCTGCCCGAAAACAACGCTCTCAGAGCAGCGCGCAGCGAATGAACGTGAGACCTGGGCAGTGCCGGGAGCGGGGGGGGTGGCAGACGCTGCCCTGTGAGCACGGGCCGGGCGCGGCGGCTCACGCCTGGAATCCCAGCACTTTGCGAGGCTGAGGGGGGCGGATCACCAGATCGGGAGTTCAAGACCATCCTGGCCAACGTGGCGAAACCCCGTCTCTACTAAAAATACAAAAAATTAGCCAGGCCTTGTGGCAGGAACCTGTAGTCCCACCTACTCGGGAGGCTGAGGCAGGAGAATCACGTGAACCTGGAAGGCGGAGGTTGCAGTGAGCCGAGATCGCGTCACTGCACTGCAGCCCAGGTGACAGAGCAAGATTCCAGCTCAAAAAAGAAAAAGAAAACGCTGGCTCTTTGCAGGGGTGGCAATAAGGGGGATTTTGATGTCCTCCTTTGTGTTTTCTGTGTCTTCCACAAAGCACCCTGCAGTAACCGGGGGGAAAAAAGTTGCTTTTTCAGGGGCAAAAAAGCCTTTACTCAGGAATTCTCAGTGGCTTTCAAAAATGTTTTTAATGCGATTTATTCTGATGTGAACAGAGTCATCATCTTTGAACAGTGGCAGGAGGACACCAAATGCCACACAGGGCTCTTAAGGAACTCTGTCACAAAGACCAGAGCAGGGAAACTGCGGGTGGGGTAAGCGGCAGGCGCTCCTGTAACACACACAGGCTGAGAGGGGCTGCACGGTACACGAGTGTCTGCAAACTGGCATGTGAGGGGCGGTCACATCAAGTGGGCTGAGCAGAGAAAGTTTCCAGAAAGCCGATTCTGAAGCAGCTTCGACAGGAGAGACTGAGGCAGGAAGAGCATGGGGAGGACTCTGACCAAGTCCCAGTGGGCTGTGCAGGGCGGCCCCTCTTACCACCCGCCAAGCACCCGTGAGCCTGACCACTCACCTCCACGAGATTCACCAGGTGCAAGAAGAACTCCTGGGCATCCTGCTGTCTGTTGGAGGAGAATTCCGGGTGGCTCTTGCTTACAAAGGCCTTAAACATGCGTGGAGAGATCCCATTGTGCTGTGGCTACAGTGTAAAAACGAAACGGACTCACAACGCTTGCATGCACATTCTCAGCCCTCAGCAGCATGCACAGCAGGGCTCCGTCAACTGCACTCTCCAGAGGAGAAGACGCAGCCCAGAGGGTCAATCCTGGCAACGGCCAGCACTCGCTGGGTGTCCACCGCGTGCCAGGTTGGTCGCATGAATCTTGTGAACCTCCTGCTTACTCAAAACTAGACACAAGAGGTGACACGCTTTAGAAAGAGCTCACTTCCTGAAGACAGGCTCGAGGCCCGTCCTCACAGGACTTGTTACACAGTGGCCAAATGTCACAGCCCATGTCAGAGCAGGCTGGAGATGACTCAGGAGGAGAGGCCTCTGCTGGAAGTTAAAAGACAGGCCGGGCATGGTGGCTCACGCCTGTAATCCCAGCACTTGGGAGGCCGAGGCGGGCGGATGACTTGAGGTCAGGAACTGAAGACCAGCCTGGCCAACATGGCGGAACCCTGTTTCTATTAAAAATACAAAAACTGAGCTGGGCGTGGTGGTGCGCACCTGTAGTCCTAGCTACTCAGGAGGCCAGGGAGGGAGAATCTCTAACCTGGGAGGCGGAGGTTGCAGTGAGCCGAGATCGCCCCATTGCACTCCATCCCGGGCAACAAGAGCAAAATTCCATCTCAATAAATCAATAAATAGAAGAGAGGAGAGCTCTGCAGCCTCTGGCCTTCGCTTCCATGAGGCTAAAGGAGAGGCCCCTCCTGAAGACGGAGCACGTGCCAGAAAGAGGAACGGCACTGCCTGGCCCGGGGCAGCCCTGCAGAGCTGCTCCCACCCCGTGAGCCCACCCTCTGCTGCTCCTGGACCGGAGCACAGGGTGTTCCCAGGAGCTGGCCAAGGGCTTGCCCCTCACTTGGCTGCAGCTGCCGGGAAGGCTGCGGGGAGGAGCAGGCAGCAGGGCGGCTCTGGCAGAAGAAGGATGCTGGACTTCCCGGGGATACCAGGATGGCTCAGAAGCCAGCCAGATGCCCCACGCAAGACCCTGTGGAGGCGGTGGGCTGTCTGCCAGTGGAGAAGGCCCAGGCAGGAGGGGGTGAAGGCTGCTGAGGCCACGAGACAGAGCATCAGGGAAAGCTTGTAAGGCCCCTGAGGGTGGGATGGCAGTGGGGGGAGGCAGCTCTAAAGAACCACTAATGTGCTCCCCGAAAGGCCAGCCATGACCAGAGACACGGCAGCCCAGAGGGAGCCCACCAGCGCTGGGAAGTGAAGACACTGCCGTCGCTCCCCTCCAATCCCCTTGACCCTGGACGCTGCGGGGCCCAGCAGCAGGTGGAAAGAGGCAAAGAAGTGGAGCAAGGATCCTGCCCCTCCCCCATCCCCACCTCCACCCCACCCCCACCTCCACCACCACCCCACCCCACCTCCACCACCACCCCACCACCACCTCCACCACCACCTCCATCACCAAAAAAAAACTGCTGCCGACACTAACGCTTCAGCACCGCTGTTTTCTAAAACTCTCGAGCTGGGCAGAATGGAGAAGACTACACCTGGCTTTTGAATTAACCAGCAGAAAATCACTAGGAACCGGGAGGTCTGCCCCGGATGCTCAGAAGAGGCAGGTGGGAGAATCCACATCTCCTTTGGTGGCAGACACGTGCACCTGACAGGCTTCCCAAACATTTCCTCCAAGTTCAGCCCATCCACGGATAGTGGCAGCTCCTCTCTCGTTGACACATGCAGTAACCCTAGAGAGCAGCCACTAGTCTTATCTTCACTAGGGAAGCTGAGACTGCAGAGAAGTGCCAGATCGGCCTCTCAGCTCAAAGTGGACTTGGCACCCGACTGCCACGCAGCCAGCAAAGCCTCACCGGAGTGACTCTGACTGCAGTTCCGGGCCGTCTGCAGCAAAAACAAGTGAGTGGGTCCTGAGCACACTTAGGTCTCAGTCATGCCAACCTCGCCTTGTCGTTTCAGCCAAAGAAGTGATCTGTGTTCCCTCTGCAAACCCCGAGGCTGCTACCCACCCGCTTTTCCATAAAACCTGCCTTTGCTTAGCTTGCAGACCACACTCCTCTCCTCTTAAGGCCAGAGCACAAACTGCCTTCTCCCTTCTTTCACACTCAGCTGGCTTCTGGTCTGTCATGCAGGCTTTGCAGGTGGAGGCCATGACTTACACCTCCTTGAATTCTCATGGACACCCGGGTCCACATCCGCCTGCAGTCTGGGGACTAAGATAGGTTTGCAGAATCACACAGGCCTATGCAACAGGTGATGAGAAAATTCCTTCATCTATCTCCCTGTGACAAAGAGGCAGCTCCATAAACATCCATCCAATACACGTGTTCTAAGCAATGTTTTCTAATAAAAATCTGATGAATTTCCCTGCCTTGCTGAAAACACAGTCCAGGCTGGGCATTTAGTATTTAGTGGCCGCCTGCTTCATGTACAGCACTATTGGAGATTCTGCCTTCTAGGAGCTTCCAGACAACAGAGGAGATGAGAGACACACGCTCCAATAGTAAACGTTAGGGAACACCACAGAGGACCTGAAACAATCCTGCAGCTCTCAAAGAATCCCTCAAAGCAGCTGCATTTGGCATCTAGGGACTGACAGCCTGTACATCAACGACCACCTTAACGTGGCTTCAGTTGTGTCTCCAGCACCAGCCAAAGAGCAATTCACTTTACTACCTGTATAAACACCTCCTGGAACCTATGTAAAAGTTGTCACTTTCTTCATTCACAGAACTGATATGCATCACACAACATCCACTGACATGGGCGTGCAATAATGCATGAGCTTCGTCTAATGGCTGACATTTATGTACTCATTAAGCAGGTGTCTACTGAGAGCTCTAAGAGTGCAGGCGTTTGGGTGAATACCTACTACGTATCAGGCACAGTTCTTAACACTTTGCATATGTATTTCACTTAACTCACCCAACCCCATGAGGTGATGATGATGATGATTAGCTCCATCTGACAGATGGGGACGCTGAGGCACGGAGGTGTTAAGTCAGGGGTCACTCTCTCCATTCCCTCCCTCTAGTTTTTGGTACCCATGCGCCAACATCTCATCTCTGAGGTCCCTGAGTCCATCCCACTAGCCGCTCAAGAGAAGACAGCATACCGAGAGTCTGCAAAGCCTTCTTCAAACCCACACAACTCTAGGGCCACCATCACAAACCAGTCTTAACAGTTATTCTCCACTTTCAAGAGTATAGTGGCACCACTTGGAATAAATCTCTTGGCGTTTTCCATTTAGGCATTCACATAAGCATGCATTGACTGCTGGCCGCTGCAGGTGCTATTCCTTACAAGCTGTGATTCAGGTCTGCTGTGGCTGCCAGGCCCCAAGCCACTTCCCAGACCACAGCCACTCTGGGAAGTTTAACGAGCCAGTACATTCCGAAGAGCTAGCTGCACTGGGCCATCGTGTGGCCATACAACCAGGAGGAGAAGTCTCAGTCCAGACCATGGTGGGAAACTCTGGGAATTCAGCCCCACAGCTGGACTGTGGCCCAGTCTCAGCCATTGCCCTCCCACACTTCGGTGACCATTTCTTCATTTTCCTCAACCAATTTTTCTTAATCCTCTGCTCAACAATCAAGCTATGGCTTCACAGTTGTCAATCATTTAGAAGTTAGTTGAAAAAGTTTCCTAACCAAACAGATGCTATGCCGCAGACCCAGTCCCAGGGTTTGCAGCTGGGCAGGAGCACCTAAGCTCAAACTCATCTACTCCAGGCTTCGTCGCTGGGCCATCGCTGTCCCCAGCTGCTAACAGCCATGCCCCACGCCTACTCTCTGCTTTCGGAGGGGATGTCTCACTACTTCCCATGCTCAGCTACTAATATGCTCACTTTACATCTACTTATTAGAAAGTCAGGCTCTGAAAAAGTTCAGCCTGAATCTCATGAAGCCTCCAGACCTAACAACCTCACCTAAAACACAAATCAAACAATACCTCAAGGAAACTTAAAGCAAACGATCCAGCTCCTTCATCAAATCAGCAGTTTGCAAAAAGAAACGGAGGTGGACTTTAGAAAGACACCTTTGATAATCCAGGGACAAATCAGAAGATGAACTAGGTATCAGTGATACTAAGGGATGGTTGTTAATTTTGCTGCTATGCTTTTAACACTTTAAGCAACTTTTTTTAAAAGAGATAAAGTCTTGCTGTCGCCCAGGCTGGATGGCAATGGTGTGATCACAGCTCACCAAATCCTCAAACCCTTGGGCACAACTGATCCTCCCACCTCAGCCTCCCAAGTATCTGGGACTACAGGTGCATGCCACTGTACCCAGATAATTCTTTTATTATTATTTTTTTTCTAGAGACATAGGTCTCACTGTGTTGCCCAGGTTTGTCTCAAACTCCTGGTTTCAAGCAATCCTCCCCGCCTCAGTCTCTCAAAGTGCTGGGATTACAAGTGTGAGCCGCCACACCCGGCTGAACACTTTAAACTTTTGACACAATACTTATGTTAAAAGAAGAAAGAAGGTATTATAGTTACAGGTGTGTATGTAGGTGAAAAGGAGGATGTTTAAATTTTACATTAAAATTGTGAAGGGAAAGAAGAGGAAGAGAAAAGGAGAAAGGAAATGAAAGGGAAGCATTTAAGGAAACTGGTGGAACCAGATTTGCAGAATGATTATTGAAGCCACACAACAGGTGCGTGGAGATTCATCACACTTCACTCTCTACTTTGGTATATATATATGCACATTTAAATAATGTTTCCTTTAAAAAAATGGTTGGGCTCTGGATAAGGCAGTTCCCTCCAAGAAACCAAAAATCCAAAACAAGAACCATCTAATTAAATTAAAGAAAGCATGTTTCCCACTTAACAATGGGCTGGTGACATCACCTGAGTGTCCCCTATGGGCTCAAAATCTCACAAGATGAGAGGCAGAGACCAAAATTGACCGAGAGTCAGCCCTGCCTTCAGGGAGCACACACTCTCACTTGAGAGCTGGCTCCCAGACGCCTAGTCCTGACCACTGACTTGAGAACACAGAGAC